TGCTGTGGTGTAGCAGGTTAAAATCCTGGCCTACAGTGCCAGCATCTCATATGAGCGCTGGTTAGAGTTCTGGCTGCTCCACTTCTGATCCAGCCCTTGCTAACGTGCCTGGCAAAGCAGTGGAGGATGCCCCAAGTCCTTGGGCCCCTGCACCCAAGTGAGAGACCTGGAAGAAGCTCCTAGCTCTTGGCTTTGGATCAGCACAGCTCCTGCCAGCTTGAGGCTACTTGGGAGTGAACCAGTGGATGGAAGACCTCTCTGGTTCTCTGTCTCTAGTGACAGAGACCTCTCTCCATAATTCTTTCAAATAAATAAATCTTTTTTTTTTTTTAAAAATGGCTGTAACGAAAATTAATGGGCATGTGTGGTGTAGCAGTTAAAATAAACTGTTAAGAACATTGGTGTCCCATGTTGGACTAACTTGGTTTAGAGTCCCAATTCTGGCTATCAATTCCAGTTTCCTGCCAATGGAGTCCCTGGAGGTGGCAGGTGATAGGGTCCCCACCACCCATGTGAGACACTTAAATGAGACATTTTAATATTTTATGATACCTTAACCTTTTTCAAATAGAATTATGTAGCATTTTACTTTTCGTTTTTGTCTGTTTTTGTTCTTTTCACAAATGAAAAGTATAACATACAGCGTCACAATCCAAATCAAAAGTGGACAGTCAAAATATAATTTTTTTTAAAGGGACATGCAAAAGATACCACACAGGGCCAACAGTGCGGCATAGTGGGTTAAGGCTTTGCCTGCAGTGCCGGCATCCCATATGGGCACCGATTCTAGTCCCAGCTACTCCTCTTCTGATCCAGCTCTCGGCTGCGGCCTGGGAAAGCAGTGGAAGATGGCCCAAGTGCTTGGGACCCTGCACCCCTGTGGGAGACCCAGATCAGGCACCTGGCTCCCAGCTTCAGATTAGCCCAGCTCCAGCCATTCCAGCCATTTGGGAAGTGAGCCAGTGGATAGGAAGATCTTTTTCTCTGTCTCCTCCTCTATGTTTAACTCTACCTATCAAATCAATCAATAGATAAAATTTTTTTTTTAAAAAAAGATACCATACACATAGGTACCCATTTCTGTGAAAAACAAGAGATAATGATGACAAGTTTGTGCATACAAAACAATTTAGATAAATCTAGACTTATGAGAAGTATAGGGTGAGAAAATTAAATTTAACATTTTAAATTTACATAGACTTTTTACTAACATTTACAGAGTAGATTATTTTTTAAAAGCATGCTTTTATAATCAGAGACTCTAATAAGGATATTTTCTAACAGAACAAGAAATCCTAAATTAATTTTGAGACTTTTGGGAGATTTCCACATAACTCAGTCATGTAACTAGTAGTAACAGATCAACTAAACCAAAGGCTGTTTCCTTTGCTTTAAAATAGCCTTCGGCTTGTACTCCCAAAGCACCAACATCTCTTCAATCTCCTCCTGCTTCCCAGAGTCCATGCTGCCATATTTCACAGGTGATAAGCTCCTTGACCTGGCAGTTAACATCTTTCACTATGCAGCCTAACCTTTTCCCACCCTTGTCACCCATCACTCCCCTTGCAATGACTTTACTCTAACTAAACCAGACAGCTGTGTCCAAGACATAAAATATATGTCCGTGAAAGTTTTGAGTACCATTCTTTTTTTCACAATAAAGGTAAAATTCACATGAACCACAATTCACTATTTTAACCATTTTAAATTGTATAACTTTCTGGCATTTTAGTACATTCACAATGTGGTGTGACCAACATCACTATCTAGTTCCAGAACATTTTCATCACCTCAAAAGAAAACCCCATATTTATTAAGTGGTCTTTCTCTAATCCTCCCTCCCCCAGCCCCTAGAATCAAATCTCCTTTCTGTCTTTATGGATTTGCCTATTACAGGCATGTCATATAAATGGACTCATATTATATGTGGATTTTTCTGTCTGGCTTATTTCTTTAGTAAAATGCTTTCAAGGTTCACCCATGCTGGCGCACGTATCAGCATTTCATTCCTTTTCATAGTTGAATAATATAGTAGTCACCCCTTACCTGAGGTTCAGTTACTAGGAGTCATCCTCAGTTTGAAAATGTTAAATGGAAAATTCTAGAGATAAATCTACTAAATTTTGAAGTGTGCACTTTCTGAATGACGAAACCTTGCATTGTCCCTGCTCCATCCTACCCAGGATGTGAACCATCCCTTTGTCTAGCATATCTGTACTGAATATGCCACCTGTAACAAACCAGTCATCTTGGTAAACGCATCAACTATCTTATGACCACAGTGCTTGTGACACTTACATAGTAGCCTATGTAATATCACAGTGCCTATGTGATTCAGCTCACATCCTCTTCTCAAGCAGGCAATTGTTTCACTACACATCATCACAAGAAGGTAGAATATAGCACAGTAAGATATTCTGAGACAGAGGGAGACAAAAACTATATTTATAAAATATATAGTTTATTATTTTAATTATTTTATTTTTAGTTACTGTTAATCTCTTACTGTGCCTTATTAATAAACTTTATCAAAGTGCCAGTTCTAGTACCAGCTACTTTACTTCCGACCCAGCTCCCTGCTAATATATACTGAAGTTATCAAAGGATTGTCCAAGTGCTTCTGCCCCTGCTACCAATGTCAAAGACCCAGATGGAGTTCCAGGCTCCTGGTTTTGCCTAGTTCAGCCCTGGCTGTTGCAGGCATTTGGGGAGTGACACAATGAATAGAAGATCTCTGTCTATGTCATTCTTCCTTTCAAGTAGATGAAAATAAACATTTCTTCAAAATTTCAATTAGAGAAATACATTCAAGAGATCTACAGCACAACTTGGTGGCTATAGTTAATAAAATAAAATAAAATTTAAAATTGCTAAGAGTAGACCTTAATAAATGCCCTTACTATCAAAAAATGCTAACTATATAGGATAATGTATACATTACTTAGCTCACTTTAGTCATTCCACAGCATATACAAATTTCAAAGCAGTATGTTGTATGTGATAAATACATGTAATTCTAATTTGTCAATTAAAAAAATAAGGTAAATGCCAATTCAATGTCAGAGGTCTTTGTCCCTTTGATTTATTAAATTATCCCCACTGCCCACAAGAGAATATAACCTGTAGGTTGTCACTAAATAAAAATTTGCTGAATGAATGAATTCTGAGCCTACAGTCAGCTGGTGCTGAGATGGAGCTGCCACTCTACATTGGTGATGGACTTGCCAGTTTCTCAAAGTTCGACCTGGCCCACTTTATTCTCCTATCTGTATGGTCCTTACACACCTTTGAGTGTGTGAATCCTTTTTCCTTGTCCCTAGTTATTTACTTCCTGGTATAAAATTAATCCTTTCATCAAAATAGTGTTCAAAAAGTGTAAGTCAAAATTGTAGTCCATGGAAATCACCTCCTATTATCTTTTTTCCACCAGGGGCAATCCCTAAGCACAGAGCAGAATCTCATTAAATCACTGAGGCCTTAAGAACTCTCTGGCATTCTGCCAAATGTATTCCTGCCTATCTTCTCCATGACCCCCACTATTTCCAGGGGCTGCTCATCCTACAGGATCGCCCTTTCTTCTTTGGCACCTGCCTGAAATTCCACAATGAATGTCACCCACTGTGATGACTCTGATGATCACCTAAGAATAACTTGGCATTGCAGGCCCTTCACCTTTAGTTCAGAATATTTTTAAAGCCTATATTGAAGGTAGAGACTTCATAAACCATCCAGATCCTTGTTCATCTAAATACTTAAAACAGAAGTACGTACAACCTCTTCCTGAAGTTCACTCTTTGATTTGGTAATGGTGAACATCTTCTAAGGATGAATATGAATGCATGTTATACAAAATGTTTCCAGTTTTACTATAATTTCCTAAAACTGCTTCACATCTGTTGCCTAACTACATAAACTGATCAATTCCAAAGGCTCAAACTCCTTTGGTCTTTCCTGTTTGGATTCATTCAGTTTTATCCTTCAATGACTTTTACTGCATCTTAATTGCATCTTAACTTGTAAGCCCCCTCAATGCTTTCAGGAGTAGGAGGGAGAAACTTTTTTTAATCAAAATTCATCCAGTTTTTCTCCTTTTTCACATTATGTGAAATTTGGCCATTCTCCTTCCAAAACAATAAATGCACAATGGTGAATATATAATGAGACAGGCTATTAATGTAAGTGACTGTTTTTGTAAGGATCTAGGAATAACACAAGCTATATGATGGTTTATGTAAAGGCACCAGGCCCAGAAAGTGTGCCTGAAGAGCCTCCTGCCTGTTTACAGTCTTGCTTAGGACTTTTCTGGAGTCTACACTATTTAGGGAGAGAAAAAAACAAGAGCCAGGTGAAACGAAGCTAGAAAGAAACATAAGAACACATCTTGGGACAATACGCCCGGAAAAAGTGGGCATGTTAAGAGATAAAGAACTCCTACAGTCTTCCTGCAATTTTAACAAATGTGGGGGGGCAGGTAAGGATATTATTTAGCAGTGTCTATGTTGAAAAACACCTATTAATATCATACTCCTAAAATTAATGCTATTTTATGTTAATGAGATCATATTTAGGAGTACACTTAAAATTAGAGATCTTATTCAGATACCTTAATTTAAATGCAGTGTAAGGGAAGGCTTCTGGTGTAGCAGTTAAGACACTACGTGAGACATCTGCATCCCATATCATAAGTGCCTTAGTTCAAGTCCAGGCTTCTCTGCTTCCAATACAGCTTCCTGCTAACGAGAACACTGGTTCAAGAGCTTGGCTCCCTGTTACCCATGAGGCAGATCTGGATTGAGTTCTGAGCTCCTGGCTTTGGACTGGCCCAACCATGACTGTTGTTGGCATCAGGGAAGTGAGCCAGCAAATGGAAGGTCTGTCTGTCTGACTCCCTGCCTTTCAAATAAAAGGAAAAACAAAAACCAAAAAACCCCATTATCATCCCGTGGAAAACCGAAAGCGAGGCATTTATGTAGCTGTGCTATGTCAGAACATCCAGTTACCTTTTCTTTGGAGGACAGGCCAAATATCCTGATTGATTTATCAGTGACTCTTCATCTGCTGTGACTGTGGAAGCTCCTCCTTCTTAATGCTGTTCGGACACACACAAAAAAGAAAAAGAGCAAAGGGATGAAACAGTGGATAAAGCTAATCAGAAATGTATCATCTCATTAGTTGCCAGATGTTCCAAAATTATTATACGTGCTTTGAAATGTCATTGTTAAAATTCAGGGCTCTCTGCCAATTTTATAACAAATGCAACTCAGTTTCTTATTTTACAACGAATTTAATTGGCTATATTTACAATAAACTAGAAACAAATGACTATTCAATATGTATATAGAGTCAGTCTCCTGGGGCTCAAAATCACTGTGTATAATTTGCCACTAATGAGTTTTCACTTAATTTTTAAAACAGCTATTGAGAAAACCTGCTCCAATAAAAACTGTCAGAATCAGATTTTAAAAACACACACAGAACAAGATTATTTGGAGTGTTTACTCTGTCCGTCATCATTTGGCAGTTTATAAAAGTAAATCATAGTACTTTAGGCAGGAAACAAAACTCAGTTAAACCATCTTACTAAAAAGCGCCAGGAAATTACGTGCTCCATTATCTTCACAGTTGTGTGCATATGTGTTTCAGATAAAATGCGGATACTATTTAAATTGGAGAGGAGTAGTGAGTTAAAGAGTCCAAGGACTGGAGATTTGAATACCAAGAGTTCGAAAGTAAGCTGATTTTCAAATTTGACATGTAAGTATGGGCAACAGCATAGTTCCAAGCAGATGCTGTCAAAGTACAAAGCAGAAGGCAGGTGACTTCACATGAAAAATTCACTTCTAATACACTTTGTTTCCTTGTAATCTTCACTGACTATACATCAAGGTCAAGTGGTAGGAAGACTGCTTTGCTCAACCTGTATTTTTATACACTCTAAATTGGTTGATAATCCAAATGTTTCTACAGCTTGAGACCTTAAGATACTATAAATTCTGAAAGTAGGTGACTGAAATTCCACACAATATTTTGAACACTCATTATTTTCTTTATTGGCTTTTAAGTTATTCCTGGACCATATCCTTTCCCTTTCCCTTTTTAATATGGTTTCAGGGGTGGGCATTTCGCCTGGTGGTAGACACACCAGATGAGATCCACCTGTCCCCTATCAGAGTGCCTGGGTTGAATACTAGGCTCTGGCTCCTGATTCAAGCATCCTGCTAATGCAGACCCTGGGGGAGGGGGCAGCAGTAATGGCTCATATAACTGCATCATTGCCACACATGTGAGAAAGTGCAATGCATTCTGACTCCCAGCTCAGCCAGGCCCAGTCTTGGCCACTGTAGGTATTTGGGAGTTAAGCAGGAGATGGGACCACTCACACTTTCTCATTCTTTCATTCTCTCATATTCTCTCTCTCCCTCTCTCCACCTGAATGTCTTTCTTTCTCTACCTCTCAAAAAAAAAAAAAAAAAAAAGGGGGGGGGGGGGGGGGAGCAGTGCTGTGGCACAGCAGGTGAAACTGCCACCTGCAGTGCTGGCATCCCATGTAGTCACAGGTTCCATTCAAGTCTAGGCTGTTCCACTTCCAATCCAGCTCTCTGCTATGGATTGGGAAAGCAGTGGAAGATGGCCCAAGTCCTTCGGCCCCTACACCCATGTGGGAGACTTGGAAGAAGCTCCAGGCTTCTTTCTTCAGATTGCCTCAGCTCCGGCCATTGTGGTCATCTGGGGAGTGAACCTGCAGATGAAAGACCTCTCTCTCTCTCTCTCTCTCTCTCTCTCTCTGTCTCTCTGCCTCTCTAACTCTACCTTTGAAATAATATAAATAAATCTTAAAAAAAAAAAATGGGCAAAGGACTTGGACGTTTAAAAACAACAACAACAAAAACCAAAACCACAAACAAAATAGTCTGTTTATTTACACACAAAATGCTACTCAATAATTCTTAAAATAATTACTAAAATCTTTTTAGGCAGATGTTTCTCTTTTCCATACTTCTAACCCCTTCCTGGTCTCCCATCTTTTTAAAAATTTCTCTGATTTCCATTTTAGTGTTCGTTTTCTGCCTCACTTCCAATGAAAGCCACTATCTTGCCTAACATGTCCATCCTGAGCCTAAATTCATTTCTTTACAACCTAAACATTTTACAGCTATGCAAAATCACTCATAGTAAGCTACAAATTACTATGACTGACACGATCAGTAGTAAAGATGTTATGTTCACTATCTCTGATAGTGATGCCTTCAGAATAGACAGGAAGCAGCGGTGCAACACCGGCATGAGGATAGACTGTGCCTGTTCTTATTTCACTAGGTCAGGACACTTTTTCAGTTTTCCATCAGGACACTCCAGCTGTTTCTCCAAAGTACCCAAGGAAGTCATCAGATTTGGGGTACTATGAAATCTCCCCAAGGCAGTTCTGGCTTTAAAAGAATTCACCCTGTACCAGCCTGCATGCCTTAAAAAATGCTTTTCAGGAAATGCTATTCTTGGGGGAAAACGGTATGACAGTTACTAAAAATAAGCATTTAAAAACAGTAATTTCTTTACTCAGAAAAGGGGTCAGGAGTTTTTCTTTTTCTTTTTTTCTTTCCTTTTTTTTTTTTTAACTGATCATCCCAGTTTTAATCAAGACACATTGGGAGTTTTTCTTTAGTAAGAAAAAAATATCTATTGGATGCTTGTACATATTCTCTTTGATCGTCACAACAACCTTGTATTCAAAAGAGCCATTATGATCTCTATAAGTAAGGAAACAGACTGAGCGAGGCCATAATCTGCTCAAGATTACCCTGCAAATCAGTGTTTTGAAATAGGAACTAGACTCTGGGCCTTAGACGCCCATCAGTTCCCTTTACAGTACACCAAACTGCCTAAACAGCAACTTCACTTTGTTTTGTGAAAAGAAATAGTTTAAAAAATAGACTGGGGAAATTTTTTGAAAACTGTAAAATGCGATACCTTTAATTCATTCATCACATACAATATCACAAGTATTCGATATGTATCATCTTTTTTAAGTTTCTCTTCAAAGGATGGCCAGTTAGAGGTAAGAAGAGGGGAAGGAAATAAGAATACATAACTGGAATGTTCTCCAAAGCCCTAAAAAGCATAAATCTGATTTAGTTAATTTTTTTAAGAGGGAAAGAGAATAAGATTATAGAAGACATTTTCTCTTACGAAGCTGCCTAGTCCATGGTGACCCTGTTTTTTTTTTTTCCTAAGCACTGTGTAATTCTCAACCCCACGCCAAGTCGTATTTGTACTATGGGGTTCCAAACTCTTCTCCTGCTTTGACCAAAGCTGGCCACAAGACCAGTCTGAGACTTTTAATTTGTTCTCCCTGGAACCAAAAACTGTGAGGAAGAAGGTCTAGTTTGGTATAGGCAGCAACATACCACAACACACTCCCAGTCTATAGAAAAATACCAGTCAGTGGAGAGAAAACAGTAAAGGAACATGCCACTCAGATTGAATCTGACCCAAGAAGCCACAGAGCCCAGAGGAGAGTGAAAAACTCTGCCTGGGTGGCACATGGGCTTTCCTGTCCTGAGTCTAGTCCCCTAGAGACCAAAGCCAAGATTCTAAGAAAACCTGGACCTCAGGAGTAAAGGGTTCCCCTGTTTATGAGCTTCATGTATTTTGAACTGATTTCAGATAACTTCAACAAAAATAAACTTACCCAAGACAGTGAAAAAAATCTGTATTAAGAAACAAAAAGGCAAGGGTCAGCATTGTGGTGTAGCAGGTTAAGCTGCTGCCTACAATGTTAGCATCTCACGTAGGTGCCATTTCGTGTCCTGGCTGCTCCACTTCTGATCTAGCTCTCTGCTAATGGCCTGGAAAAAGCAGTGGACGATGGCCCAAGTACTTGGGCTCCTGTACCCATGTAGGAGACCTGGAAGAAGCTCCTGGCTCCAGTTTTCACCTGGCCCAGCCCTGGCTGTTGAGGCCATTTGGGGAGTGAACTAGTAGATGTCAGATCTTTCTGTCTATGTCTCTCCCTCTCTCTGTGTAACTCTGACTTTCAAATAAATAAGTAAAATTTTTTAAAGGGGGGAGGCAGATATCACCAGAATTCATTATAAAAGCAGACACTGCAGAATGTCCAGAGTTCAAAAACATGCACACCTTCATTTTAAACAGGGAAGAGAACACACTTACAAGTACATTGGCAGTGTTATATTGATCGTTACAGAGAAAATGGTGTAACTTTTTTTTAAAATAAAGGTTTCTTTGTTTAGAAGGCAGAATGACAGAAAATGAGGGAAAAGCAAAGAGAAAAAGAGATCTTACTTCAGGTGGTTCACTCCCCAAATGTCGACAAGAGCTACGGCTGGTTGAAGCCAGCAGTCAGGCACCATAAGTGTCTCAAAGAGCAGGCAGGGACCCAGGTACTTGGGCTATCATCTGCTGCCTCCCAGCTGCCAGCAAGCGGCTGGATTGGAAACGGTCATCAGCACTTGAACCAGACACTCTGATATGGGATGCAGTTGTCCTAAGCATGGCTCCATCTGCTGCACCACAACGCCAGCCCCTAGGAGTAACATTTCTATGTCTTTTTATGACTCTGAGAGCCCGTTGCAATTTCAGAAATAATCTGGATTACCTCTTGTTATCTAATGAACTCTATTAAAATGAAGCAAAAACCTACTAAGACAAAAAAAATAGTAAACCAAGTCAGTCTATTTTTGAAGTATAACAGTATAAACTTTCTTTTTATCTCTTACTTCCTTAATCTCAAGGCAAACCACCAAGCGTCAATTTGAGATTGGCACCCTAAATACTTGGGGAAGGCATGCAAGGGCAGAGAAACAGAGAAGTGGGTCCTATCAGGAAGACAAACCCAGAAGTATTGGCTGGCAAAATATACTACATCTTGAAGCCTAACTACAATGAAAATACTGAAAATGAAGAGAGGTTTACTCCTGCTGATTCTTTATTTAATAAAAACATGGTGAGAATGTGCTCTCTGCCAAGGGCTATGCCTGCCATTAGAACCTGCAGCATGTTCAACTGAGCCACGTAACTCCCAGGTTATGCAATTTTCCCTCCACCCTTTGACACTCACTGCAAACAGAAAGT